TTGTACTCTGTGTGGAGGTGGGAAATGGGTGTGGGCTGACGGCCCTGGCCGTTCCCATCTGGCTGGTGTCCTGCTCTGTGCTAGCAGGCCGTGAGTGCCTGCAGCCGGCAGAAGAGGTCCTCACACTCTTAAGCACCTGCCCGGGTCAGATAGTTTAGACCCATGGCAAAGCGAGCTCCATCTTCCCCTGTGGTAAGTTTTGGGAACCCTGTCTGTGGATGAATGCATTGCTACTTGTGCTTGCTGTATTTAGGATAGAAAATGCTCCCAGGCAGGAGGATGGCGATGGCTCACTGGCGCCCCAGAGCAGACCCCAGAGCTCGGATTCCCCATGCAGGTTTTCCTGTAGATACCCCACTGCCACCACCCCCCATAACAGGAGTCCAGTGGCTACTTCCTTGGTCCTCAGTCTCCCCATGAAGACCAAAAATAAAGTGCTTTTTATTTTTTCAGAACTTACAGTGTGCCCCCTCTACTGCTCAGGAATCCTGTCCTCCGAAACCTCCAAGGGCTCACGAGCTAAAGCTACTGGTGAGGAACATCGGCGCCTTGCTGTTCAGCGAGCCTGGTGCCTCAGGTGGGTGACAGTGGGAGCCTGGCCTGCCTGGAGGGGCTGTTCCTGCCCCTGAGCAGAGTCAGGGGCTCCGGGGGGGCTTGGATTCTCTGGTGGCATCCTCCTGTGGCGGTGCAGCGGGAGCCCTGCCATGGTTGCAGAAAGCACCTGAAAATGTAATGGGAACAAGAGATGGTAAAAAATCCAATCCTGTTTCTGCACGTGTGAAGGCCGAGGGGAGAAAGGAATATAATTGATTTGGCCTTTTTCATTTGTCTGGAATTGTCCTGTCTTTTTTATCTTTTCTTTCCTTTTATTATTTTTAAACTGTTGAACCCGTATGTATGTGTTAAGCTTCTGCTTTCTTAGAAAGTGGGTGAAGGGGGATGTAGGGAGTTGATGAGCATCAGATGACTTCGGCCACACTCGGGACTCCCATGCTGGGAGACCATAGCTGCTGTTGGAGCCAAGACAAGCAACACAGAACGGATAACCCCTTCTGGGTGGTTCTGAATCATTGTTGAGGCCCCAGACACAGAGTCACTCGAGACAGGGCACCTCTTTACTCTGCAACTCCGTTTTGCCAAGAACAGGAGTGAATTGTATTGCCTGAGTGTGTTAAAGGTGACTTATCTTTATTTGCGAGGGACTTCCTCCAGTTCCAAAAGCACAAGTGGGCCACATCTGGCAGCTGAGACTGTGCAGAGCTAGCTGTCGAGGATTTTTTTTTTTTGTAAAAGTGCCTGCATGTTGCCCTTTCTTTCAGCCTGTACTGCTTAGTGACTAAAAGTGGGCTCGCTGGACTCGGTCAGTCAGGGTTGGGGTCCCAGCTCCCACACGCACCTGCCCTGAGGCCAGGCCCTGTGCCTCCCTCTGCTGGATGTCCCCACGTCTGGGTCTGAGTCTTCTCTTGAAGAGTGACTGTGAAAGCTCAGTGGCGAACGTCTGGAGGCTGCTTCACCCTGCTGCGGCATGGTCCAGCGTCCACACATTCTAGCAATTACTGATTCCACAGTGTGTTAGGGACCTGGTGCTGCAGGGAGAAGCGTTGTCTCAAAGCAGAAACAGCTGTTCACTAGGGACATGTCCTACTACCTGGATCAGATACCCCGGCTAGTATCAGGTACCGCACCTGTCTGGTGTAAGTTGGGAAATGGGAACTCTGTGAGGTATATTTCCAAATTTAGGAGTCAACATGAACTGATGTTCAGGCTTTGGCAAACCGTTAGTCTTGTCTAAAAGTGGGGACCATGCCTCTGTATATAATGGTGCTGCCTCTCGGGGAGGGTCCCCCTGGGAGCCCATGCCTGTGGCCAGCACTGACGAAGGGGGCGAGGCACTTGGGGTCAGCCCAGGGCTGTTGATATCAAATGTAGGAAAAATTCTTTAACTCCAATAAAGGTTAGTGCTATGAGCATTTGAAAATGGAAAATGAAAGAATTCCCAGTCTCTGAAGTGGGTAAGCCTCGACCTTAGCCATTTAATTTAGCCTTTTTTTCTATGCATACAATGTCTTCATGCAATTTAAAAAATAAAAATAATGCC